TCTCTCTTTTAATCCCAGGATTATGTTTATTGATTTTATGAGAGAGGAAGGGAGAGAGAAGAGGGGAGAGAGAGAGAGAGAAGAGGGGAGAGAGAGAGAGAGAGAAACATCCCATACACACCCCGACTGGGAATCAACCTGCAACCTAGTTATGTTCCCTGACCTGGAATCAAAACCCCAACCTTTTGGTACATGGGCCAATTCTCCAACCAAATGAGCCACATTGGCCAGAGCCATACTTTTCCATTTTATATATGATTTCTCTCCCTTTCCCCATGCTTATTATTGCATGCACATTTCGCTACTATTATTACATAAAAAAATTACAACAGCTATTTGCCCTGTAGAGATGCTTAGTTCCTTAACTTCTTCCTTCCATTCTCCCAACAAGATAAAAATCTTTAGTATATCTTTTCCCCCATTCTCTACTCACATTAAACTTCTGGATGAGTTTTTACCACTTCTCTCCTAATTCCCACTCCAGTTCCTAGATTTTGCTTAGATAATTTGCTACTCTTTGTTTTAGACTATAATTGGAATTTCCTTTGCAGTATGTTTCCTCCATCTCAATAATCTTTTTTTTACCCTTTATATTACACAGTTTCAGGTAATTTATTAACATCCTCATATCCAATGGACATATAGAATATATGTCCACGTAATCAGTATCAAATGAATAACCAATTGATATTGGTAGAGTATATGTATATATATAGTATGTGTATGTTTATGTATATGATGAATTTTCTTTGTAATCTTATGTATTTTATTTTATTATTATTTTTAAATTTATTTATTTTTTAGAGAGAGAAGAAGGGTAGGAGAAAGAGAGAAAGAGAAAGATCAATGTGAGAGAGAAACATTGATCAGCTGCCTCTTCTATGCAGCCTACAAGGGACCAAACTCACAACCTAGGCATGTGCCCTAACAGGGAGTTGAACTGGTGACCTTTCCCTTTGCAGGACAATGCCCAGTCAACTGAGTCACACCCGTCCAGGCTGTATTTTATTTTATACACTTCAAAACATTCAGAGAAGGGGTTTATAACCTGCACACAAAGACCAAGAACTCCTACCCTAGGTAATCCCAGCCTCCCCTACAATTTCAATTACCATTTCTACACCAATGACTTTCCTAATTTTTTCCTCCAATCCAGACTTCTCCTGAATTCCAGGTCCACATATTTACACACACACGTACACCATTTGAGAATCCCAAGTGATACTTCAAATAAAGGAACCCCCAACTCAGTATGTCCAAAACCATGCTCAAGTATTCCTCCCTGGTCTGGTCCTTGTCTGATGAAAACTTCTCAGAAAGTGGCTCTGAGAAAGCCAGAAGCCAAAGAGCCATCCTTGTCTCTTTCATCTCTCTCACTTCCCTGCTTAACCCTCACCAACATCTGTTACTTCATCTTCTAAACTTTGCTCTTGTCAGTCCACTTCCCCCATAGCACGGAGATCATTGGTGACTTTACCTGTTTTAGTGGAATGGGAGGGGTAGAAATCAGATGGGTGTGGGTTGATAGGTGGTGGGTGGGAAGTAGGCAAAAGGAGATAGCAAATGTAGACAACTCCTTTGGAAACTTTAGGCAAAAATTCTCGAAGATGTTGTAAGATAGTACTTTTCTCTCCTTTCATTCCCAGCCACATGCTTAGCCCGTCGATGATCCTGGGTCAGACAACAGCTGAACCCAGTAAATAGACAAAACCTCAGACCTATTTCTGAGCTCTCACAGGGTGAACTATCATAAAAACACCCACAGATGGTGATATGAAAGAATATTATAAAACTAATACTACAAGACATTATTGAACAGTTACAATAATCTCTCTTAATTTCCATCCATCCCTGCTCTCCTTCAACCTGTTCTCTACGCAGCAGCCAGGAATCTTTTCAAATGTAAATCTGATCATATTTAATTAAGTTCTTTGGTTTCTACCTTAACTCCTGAAGTGGCTTCCTACTGCTCTTAAGATAAAGGTAAAAAAACAAAACCAAACCTTGGCAGCCTACGAGGTATTAAATGATTAGGCTCCTGCCTTCCTCATCAGTTTTTTCTCCCCTGACTCTGCAGTCATGCTCTGTACCACAGTGACTTTAAACTTCTTTTGATTTTTTAAACACATTAAGCTCTCTTCTGTCCCTGGCTTTGGGTATGCTCTTCCCTCTGCTTGGGATGTTCTCATCCTCTCTTTTCTTATTTAGCTCCTAGCTCCAATGGGACTTCTTCAGGGAACTCTTCATTGCTAAGTCAAGGCTTCTATTGTAATACCCTTTTTTTCCTTTCAGAGTTCTCATCACAGTGTGTAACTATATATTAGTTGTTGTGATTATTTGATAAATGTCTGTTATCTCTAACAGACTGGAAGCCCTAGGAGGGCAGGAATGATGTATCTTTTCATACTATAGTATCCTCAACCTTGATAGTATAGTGCCTGGCACATGAAAGGTACTTAGTAAGTGTGTATGTGTACGCATGTATATGACTGGTCAAGTGTCTGGATATACAGAGGAAAGCAGACCGGGACTGCAGTGACTTCATAAGGAGACACCACAGTGAGTAGCAGTCAGAGCAGCCCATCTGCTTCCCTCAAGGGCATCTCTCTGGTTGGGCTTCTGTCAACTGCAACTTATAATAGGATATACCACCTATTTGTTTGGTTTCTGAATCATCTGAATCCACCCTCGTTCAGCAATGTGGACTATCAGCTCTCAGAGACAGAGAGAACAACCTTGAAATCATCACCATTTATTCATTCTACCAATATTTATTCTGTGCCTACCTCTACTCCATTCAAACACTATACAGAGGATGGGGAAACACAAATGAATGAGGCCTGATCATTACTTTCAAGGAATTTCTAATTTTGAAGCACAGTCTGATTTGTAAACAAATTATAACTTCCTGTTTTAAAACACTAATATTACAAGGCATGTTCAAACTTTTAAATGATCATAGAGAAGAGAATGACTATGAAAGCACTTAGCAACACCCTAGCTAGAAGTGCTATTTAGAATGATGGCCCAGGGGACATACTTTTAAAATCTTCTAAGCTCTAAGTCTGAAACAGTTTAGACCACAAGAAAGCAATTTCCTTAGACCATATTAGACAAGCCCCTTAAAAAAAACAACAACAAAAACCAACGATCATCAACCCTGGCTCTGTATATCAGTTGGTTAGAACCTTGTCCTGACATGCCAAGGTTGTGTGTGGGCTTGATCCTTGATCAGGGCACCACATACTAGAAACAACCAATAAATGCATAATTAAGTGGAACAACAAACTAATGTTTTTCTCTCTCTTTTCCTCCCTCCCCTCAAAGTCAATAAAGTAAAAATTTTTTGAATAATTTATAAAAATAACCATAACTAAGTTGCTATTTATGTCCCTGGCTTTTGTTAATCATAAAAGAAATATCCATATGAATTTTGCTTTTGCATTTGCTGTTCAAATCTGCTTGATTGCTTTATTACCTCATTCACTGGTTCCTAATAAAGGTATATGAGAAACTACCTGTAGAAGTTAGCACTCTGGGAAAAAAAAAAACCTATGGTCTGTCTCCTCTGATGAACTGATTCTTTTCAGATGTCAAGATTTATTCAATATGTACTGTGTTTTCATTTTTACCCTGGCAACCAGGAAGCTCAGAACTAAACTTCAAATTCAGTCATGTTTTATTATTAGGATATTTATGATCTTTTTCTTTGGCCCTAATGATCCATTTCTCATTTTCTAGTCTATCATAACCCTTTTTTAATATGTAAAGGAGATAGGACAAAATAAATTTAACATCTGGTACGCACAGTCATTTTAGAACTATTTCCGTTGTCAAACATAAATGCCAAAAAAAAAAAAAAGACCTATTTTTGGATCTTTATAAAATTTGGAGAAACTGGGGAGGGCTCAGAGTAAGGCAACAGAAACGGACAAAGAATGAAATGAGGTACAATAGTATGTCCATATTCTTCAACTCAATATTGGGGCATATTGATTGTTATAGGAAAAGTATCTGAAATTTAGATTGTTCTGGAAAATCCCAGAGATATGTCGAAGCAGACAGATCCCAGGAGTCATTGTCAGTATTTAATGTATATGAGCAGTTATAGAAAGGTTTTAACCTTTTTTGTATCACGGATTCCTTGGACCTGTTTCCCAGTAATATACAGGCACATATAGTTTCTAAAAGTAGAACCCTCCTGTACTGACTTATTTTTTTTCAGAATATCAAAAGCACTTTACAGCTGGCCCTGCTGCAAAGAATTCAGATAGACCAGGGGACGCACCTGAACGGTCACGTCAGTTGGGGAGACTGGCAAATCAGCTATCAGCTGAAGTTCTTAACACTCTGACATCATTCTTAAGTGGATTAAACCAGTTGTTTGTTCTCTGTTTTTAACTTTTATGGGGAACAGACTCCTTTGATGAGCTGATGAAGGTATGGGTCTTCTAACCTAAAATATATCCATCCCGCCCCCCCCATACAATTTTGCACAGTTCCATAGGATTGATTTATTTCCTTAAGTCCATCCTCAGATCTCATGTTGTGTTTAAATTGAGACTTCCTGGAGTCAGAGAAATGCCCTTGAGGACCTTTCAGAATCACTCTCTTATCACTGGGACTAGGACTAGATAGAAGGAGGTTACGGAACACGGAGACGGCGACGCCCCTGCGGCCTCTAAACAAGCCCGTCTGAGCACACCCCTCCAAGCTCTCCCCTCCCCCACGCCTGGGCCGCGCAGGTGCGAAAACCTAAGGGGCCACCCGCGAGCGCTGGGAAGGGGTGGGGGGAATGGAACGGGAGGAGGCGGGGGCCCTCCCTAGGTTGCTTGGTGACCAAATTCTCCGCCCAGGCCGTTCCATTTCCTTAGTAGGGGGCGTCGCGGGCCGGACCGTTGCTGATGGACTGCCCAGAGGGGCCTTCTTCCGTCTTCCCCCCCTCTCCGGACGGTGGCCAGGTTCGTGACGTCACAGGAGGCGGGGCCAGAGCTGCTGCCGGGTGCTGTAGGCGCCATTGGACCCGGCTTGGCTAGAGAGCTCCACTGAGGGGCTGGAGGTTGGACCGCAGCTACAACCGCGTCTGCTCCCGGTCCCTAGCCCGTCAGCGGCATGGCGTGTGGGGCGACGTTGAAGCGGCCCATGGAGTTCGAGGCGGCGCTGCTGAGCCCGGGTTCCCCGAAGCGGCGGCGCTGCGCCCCTCTGCCCGGCCCCACTCCGGGCCTGAGGCCCCCGGACGTCGAGCCGCCGCCGCTTCAGATGCAGACCCCACCGCCGCCTCTGCAGCAGCCCGTACCGCCCGGCAGCGAGCGGCGCCTTCCAACTCCGGGTAACCGACGCTGCGGGCTTGGCAGGAAGCCAGGCCCTGGCATTTGGGGGTGGGGGTGGGGGGAAGGGTTACGGACGCTGGGCGAATGTGCCCGCGGACCCCTTCTTTGCCCTGAGAAAAGGGAACTGGAGCGCCGCTGGGCCTGGTCTCTTCCGGGGGTAGGAAACATCCGGGAGAGATAGTGGGGTCACAGCGTCGGTTTTCGGTTTTCCTGGAGCCGGAGAGCCTAGTGGGGTGGGCAGCGAGCGGGAAAGGGGGCCATCCTCGGCCGCCCCGGCCCTCCGCGTCCCCCAGCCCCTCCTCCTGCCTCCGCCGCCTGGGCCTGCACCGAGCCGCCCTGTGGATCAGCGGGCCCTGGGAAATCGGATTCTCCTCACGAACCCGGCCTTGAGGGTGGGGGTTGGGGGCTGGGTACTGGGAAGGGGCCTGAGTGTGAGTGTGTGGCGTTCCGCACGGTACTGTCGCTGGCGGGGAGACCTGGTTTACAGAAGTCTGGAGGCACCGGGGGACGCCGCAGAAATCATGGAATCCGATTTCAACCTGACTAATTCTAGGGGACTGGCCATGTTCTTTTATTGTATGGCTATTGTCTTGTACCATATATGGCTTGAAATCGGTAGGTCGTTCGCTAGAATTTGAAAATCCGTAAACGTACGGAGGTTCCGAAAGCAGGAATTCAGCTGTCCGTAGCAGACAGACTCGCCTTCAATAAGGACATTGGTCAAGGAAAGGGGAGAGTTGGTGTGACAATAAAGTAAAAAAAAAAAAAAAAAAGTCTAACCCTTGTGTGGGAGTTGAGGGGAAAGTGCATCAGAATTAATATTTAGCAGTTTTAAAGGGCTCCCGGAAATGGGGGGAGACTCAAAACTGGACTTTGGCAAGTCATTTCTTTGTGTGTTTTTTCTTACTTTTCAAGCATAAGCAAAACTTTGGAATTGCTTTAAAGTCATTCTTTCGTTACTCCTTTTCGATTACCAGTGTCTTTAGGCTTTATTTCTTCCTTTGCAAATCCGCAATACAGATTTCAGGCCCACATCCTCTGGCACCGGTGTTCTTGAAGTTGCCAGCCAAGGCCTCCTAGACTCACGTTCACCTCCCTCTTCTTTATGCTGGCATTCAAAGGACTTAGCGGCTATAATCGGATCTTACCTAGTCAGTCTTTTATACATTTTTTACCAAACTATGCCTTTGCTCTTTTCTCCCAGACACACCTGGCTGTGTCTGTATTCTTGCCTTCCATCATGACGCTTTCTCCTCCTATTTGCTAATCCAAATGTAGTCATTCCCTTAAGTCTCTCATCTATTACCTGACTAACCCTACCCCTTGAGGAACTCTGTTCGACTTTAAATTCCCTGACCACTGAATGTTGCATTGAATGGGAATGTTTGCAAGAAGTTCTTTATGAGGAGTCCTTCAAAGGCAGAGGGTGTAGGTGCCCACTTAAAGCGATTTTTTTTTTTTCTTCCACTGCTCCTGCACCTACCCAGGGATAGTCACATAATCTTTCTGGATCTCTTTTCTTCAGCAAAATAAAATACAATTAATACTTGCCCTATCTATCTTAACAGGTATTAAGTAAATGTTTTGTTTCTTCTAATATTCGTTAGACTAATTCTATTGTAGTTCATATTACAGCAAATGCATAGTAAGTGATTGCTAAAGGTATTTGGAAGCCTAAATATGGTACAGTGCTATAATGGGGGCCTCTGTTTTGTTTTGCTTTTTAATCTTAAAATTTTATCTTTGCATAAATCATGCAAACTAGTTTCTTGGTCATTTTATGTTAAAGTATTTTGTTTAAAATGTTCATTTGTAAAGATTGATCTGTTACATTTCTTAATGCTTATTGGAATATGGTTGTGTTATGAAAGAAGCAAAGTATGACTGATTCATTGTATAATGCTTTGGCTTATGTGAAAGATGCCTTCTGGATTAAAAAGGAAGAATGGGAGAGGAAATACTAGTTGTTACACAAGTAGAAAGAATAAAGCTAACTAATAGAAAAGTGAATTTAAAAATCAGTAACTTTATTCTGTACCATCCTAGTTATCTCAAGGGTTGTAAAGTTCTCAGAAAAGGTCAGAAAATATGTTTTTACTTCATTTTAAAAAAAAGATTAGTCATAACACTTTGTAGAAAAAGCCTATAAAATTAAATCTTTTGTTGCTTAAACGAGTGAGGTGGATGGGTGCCAAGGATGCAAGGGGGTTAACTGACCTCAGGGAGATGTTTGTAAGCATGGAGTGAGTCTAGATGCAAAGCAATTAATTGATTGTGACTTGATCAGAATAAGGTAGCATTTTAGCTGGGTCTTAAATGTTGGAAGGAGAGACACAGCCCCATTTTAGCAAAGCAAAATTGCTTGAGTAAAGGACAGAAAACCCACATATTAAGGACAGGGCTGTTTAATGCAACTGGGTTGTGGTGGGAGATGGAACTGGAAAAATACTGGATTTATAGTCCACTTAGTCTGATATAGCTTAGAAGCACAACCTCAAATAATGGGAGGCAAAGATTAAAATTATCCACTGTTAAAAAGAAACTTGCATTTTCTTTTTAAAAATGCCTTTGTATGTTATATGTGGCCTTTGTGGGAAGAAAATCACATCTGCTTTCTTATTTTTCTCCTGTGTATACCATGTTTAGATTCTTGGACTTACTAGTCCTTGTACCAGCCTCAAAGTTACACCTTCCCACTTCGTTTTTCCATACAGTAGGCACTTAAAGGTTTATCAAAGACCTCCTCTTCTCATGAGCATTGTCCTCATACTTGTTCTTTCTTGTTTCAAGTCTTTGCAGTTGCTTACAACCTTGTATGGAGTCTGGCTATGTATGTACTTGGAAAATATATTTTAAAGATGAAATTAAGACTTCCTGATTTCAGGGATCTAAAATAAGAACTTTGTCGCATTCTTAAAAGAAAGCTTTTCTAAATACTACACTGTTCCAGTGTTTAGGCTGAGTATTACAGAACTTAGCTATGTGTAGAGCTACTTTGAGGGTATGTCAGTTCCTGGGCTGTATCATCACTTGTTATGGCCCTTTTTTTTTTTTTCTTTTTCTTTTTAAAATTTTATTTATTTTTTTAGGGAGGGAGAAAGACAGGGAGAGAAACATCAGTCAGTTGCCTCTCACATGCCCTGAACTGGGCACCTGGCCTGCAACCCAGGCTTGTGCCCTGACTGGGAATCAAACTGGTGACCTTTTGGTTTGCAGGGAGGCACTCAGTCCACTGAGCCACACCAGCCAGGGCTGTTATGGTATTATTAATAGCTTTGGTTCTGATTCTCACAACTTCATTGGGCAGGAATTTAACATTTGAAGAATGAGGCTAAAAATCATGCCTTACTTCCCAAGGTCATAGTCACACAGCCAGGAAGAAGCAAAATGTCATTGTTCACACCAGCACCACTCCCCCCACCCCAACTAAAAAAAAATACCACTATAGCAAAGTATACTTTAGAATGTGAGTTAGGAGGGGTTGATACAATATTCTGGTTTTTGTTTTTGATAAGGAGGCTTTATTTATCTGGAAAATGAATATATATTCTACCACAAAAACAAAAAACATGAAAACCACATCCTTCCAGATTCCCTGTTTTCTCTAGGATTGTGCTTCAAGGTGGTTAGTGATTTGTATGTCCTGGACTCCTTTTAATGTTAAATTTGGTTAATTATTACCTCTACTCAGAATAGTAATCTGAATCCTACCAAATATTGCTCTTACAGAATCAGAAAATTCTTTTCTATGTCCTTTTCATGAATTCCAATCAATAAATTTCAGGTCTTCCCCTGGCTGTAGAAATATGGTTTTTGCCTTCCTCTTCCCTAAAGATCTAAAGATACTGAGCCCCAAAGAGGTGGTAAGAGACCCCTAGTCCCCTAGTTTGTGAAATTGCAATTTAAAGGAAATTTTAATAAAGCTCCCTATTAGGTGAAGGATTCCACCTACCCCCTCATACACTGTACTTATTAATCCTATGGCAAACAGCAGATCTGGTCTTTATTGTCACAGGAAACAAGCAAAGGGAATTGTCAGAGTGACCTATGCCAAAATAGGAGCTATTCTACATATTATTGAAATAGTGACAATAAGAGGGCACCCTTTGGGGCTTCTAGGAAGAGTGTTTTATTCAATATAAATATTTTTCTTGTTAATATTTATAACATGGGAAGAACAAGAAGTTTGAGGAAATCATAGTGAATGTTCAAGTGTATTTCTTTTTTATTTAGAGCAAATTTTTCAGAACATAAAACAAGAATATAGTCGTTATCAGAGGTGGAGACATTTAGAAGTTGTTCTTAATCAAAATGAAGCTTGTACGTCAGAAAGTCAGCCTCACTCCTCAGCACTCACAGCACCTAGTTCTCCAGGTAAGTATGCTTTAATTTGCACAATACATGCAAGGGTTTGTAAATGGTACTTAAAATAATAGTTTCCTAATTTAGAATTTATTTCACCTAAAGTAATAAAAATGGTACAGTGTTTGTGTCGTAAATACTATTAAAACCATAGAATCATGAAATTGGAAAAGACCTTAGATTGATTTGATTGGCTTCCATCCACCCAATGCAACGGTGCCCTCTGTAACTACAAAGTCTAATACCGTAGCCACTAGTCACATGTGGCTGTTTAATTAAAATTTAATACAACTTTAACATTTAGCTTCCCAGATGCATGCAGTAGCCACATTTAAAATGCTTGGTAGCCACAAAGAGTTGTTCTATTAGCACAACTATAAGACATTTTTATCATTGCGGAAAGTTGTGTGGCAGCACTGCTCTGTAACATTGACAGGTGGTTAGAGAGGATGTGCTCAAACAGAATCTCAGGGTTGAAGTAAATCTTCCTGGTCACATAGTTCAGCCACCTGTCTTGCCTGCCCATATCCCTGCAGACAGTCAATAGACCAGTGCTTTAACATCTCCAGTGCCGGTGAACTCTGTCTTTCAACAGTAGTTTCTTTCCTCAAAGTATTCTACTTAATAGTTGAAAGAGTCAAAAATTATATTGATGAGAAATTGTCTCCTTGTAGAACAGAAATTGGTGTTGGCCAGAAGAGGGCGCAGGGAATGGGGGGAGACTGCCTAATGGGTAAGAGGTGTTACTTTGGAGTAATATGAATGTTTTGAAACTAGATAGAGGTGATAGTTGTACAACATTGTGACTATATAGTAAATGGCACTGGATTGTTCAGTTTATATCAGTTTTACCTGAAATGTTTTTGGTTTTTGTTTGTTTGTTTGTTTGGTTTTTTGTTTTTTGTTTTTTTTAGAGATTATTTATTTATTTATTTTTAGAGAAGGGGAAAGAGGGGAGAAGGAGAGGGAAGGAAACATGATGTGCAAGAGAAACAGTGATCGGTTGCCTCTCTCATGCCCCCAACTCCAGCATGTGCTCTGACTGTGAATCAAACCAGTAACCTTTCGGTCCGCAGGCTGGCACTCAGTCCACTGAGCCACACCAGCCAGCGCTCAAATAATTTTTTAGAAACTGTTTTATTATAACCCAAAAGTTTTGACTCTAAAATAACACCCTTTCTACTTGCTCTTGCACATACGTAAGTGATAAACTATCAATAGTTATAGTTAACAGTTCTCAATTTTCTCTCTAGATTTTAGTAATTAATTTTGAAGTAATGAATATGTTATGGGTAGAGAAACAATTACAAATAATTGGCTAGATATTTGGGTCAGGTCTCATTTGTAGAGGGGAAAAAATGGGTTTAAGCAAAAAAAAAAATTTCAGGCTGTTGAATAGTTTATAGACATAGAGGGCCAAAGAAACATAATTCAGTCTGTGCTTTGAAAAACAACTAAGAACTGGACTGCCAATGGAGTGGCTGCTTTCATCATGATCAGGAAGGCGATTTCCATATTATCTGGCATTCCAGTGGATATTTTGGTTCCTACCTACTATCTTATGAACATTTCACTCTTCTTGACCTAGATTCAAAAGGAGTCAAGGATGAGATGTGTAGTGGCTAAATGTCTCCTTCATTCATATTTTAGTGGCTTCACTAAAAAATTTTATATTGGGCAAGTCATTTGGTCTCCTGTCAGACTTATCAGAATCACCTATGGAACTTAAGAGGCCAAACCCCTTCTCCAGAATTAAATCAAAATGTGTATATTTATATTTTGTTAGTTCTACAGGTAACTGTGATGCACAGCCTTGGTTAAACATAGGTCTAGATGATCTTCAGAGAACTGAGTAGCTTTCATGCCATGAATCTACTTATCCTGATCCAGACTAGAGGCTTTATATCAGCATTAAACTTTTTATTCTTGTCTTTTACTAGATGAGCATTGAGTATAGGCTCTGATTGTTAGTGCACCAGAACTGATTTTTTTTTGTATGCAGACCAGCCAGCATACCTGCATAGATGTTGTTCCTACTTCCCAGTTTACCTTTGTCTTTGCTTTGTAAAATAAATGTCAGAAACTTGGAGAATTTTGTGAAAATATTCCATGTAAATTAGTGAAAAATACCATTTTTATAAACAATTTTTATATCCTAGGACTGTTTGCAATGAAGTTATTAATCTGAACCTTAGAACTAGAATTTATTATGTAAACTAGATCTGTCTTTTGGCCAGGTTCCTCCTGGATGAAGAAGGACCAGCCCACCTTTACTCTCCGACAAGTTGGAATAATATGTGAGCGTCTCTTAAAAGACTATGAAGATAAAATTCGGGAGGAGTATGAGCAAATTCTCAATACCAAACTAGCAGGTAGGCTGAAGTAGTGCCTAAGGATAAACCCCAATTAAGTAAATGGTAATTTAGGAGTAGGACCTCATGCAAGAAGGTTTAATGAGTTATGAATGTTAAGTTATTCCCTTTGGTGATTTTAAACATTTATAAGTTATATGGAAGGACTTTTCATTTACATTTCTGAAACAAGATAAACCAAGCTTTTCTTCTGAGAATTTCCCATTTGAACGAAGGCATTTTGAGTAGATTGTTTGGGATAGGTGGCCTCTAAACAGGTGGTTGGGATAGTAACAGCTGGTTAGGGGGTTGTATAATATAGTCAACTTAATCAGACTTCCTAGTGGGAGTCACTTGGTGAATGTGGGAAGTCAGTCATCCTGTGATTTGGAGATTAAAGTTTGGAAAGCACAGCTCAGGCAAGAACAAAGGGGAGTAACTAATGGTGGCAAGTTAGAGCCTTCTGTGAAAGGAAGGGATCTGAATCAGGAAAAAGTACCTATTCAGTGAAAGAGGATGATATTGTCATCAGAGAGGTTTTAAGCAACAACTTCTTTCAGTAACTACTGTTTCCTAATTTGGTGACCCATACCACATGGTGCCTCAGAATGTTAATAGTTCTGCTTTAAATTGAAAATTGTTGGGTTAGGAACAAAATTAAATGGATTACTTTACAGAACTTCTTTAACATACTAATAATGTAGATTATAAGAAGAAACTCCCTATCCTACTGCCACCCCAAAATTGTTCAGACCAGTAGATTCTAAGTCACTTCTGTGTTCACGGATGTCAGATTATCTTCTATCTTTCAACTGAATTTCCCTTTAGAAGGTACTTCTGTGGAACAGTCTACAATTAGGTAGTTTAGAATTTTCTCTTAGCTTTCTAGCCATCTTACTTTTTCACTCAATATATATGTTGAAATTTATAGCAACGATAGAATGCAGGGAAGAGCCTCAAGCTGCATGTCCTATAGGAGATATCCTAAAATTTGTTAGCTTAAAGTAGTGACCATATCTGTTTTGGGAAGCCATTAGGACGGAGTTACAGCAAGGGCAAGATTGTTAGGAAAATGTTACGTTACAGATGATCAGTGATCAAATCTAGGTGACAGGGATTTGGCTCTGGGACCTAAGAGGAAGTAACTAATCTCAGAGTAACGGTTAACAGGGTCTGACGATGGGTAATTTAAACTGGGAAGTTAGGTGTGATCCTGACACTTTATTCTTGAAAAACTGGGGGAGATTTTCTGAGGATCGTATATACTCTGTTTCCCCTCACAGAACAATATGAATCTTTTGTGAAATTCACACATGATCAGATTATGCGACGATATGGGACAAGGCCCACAAGCTGTAAGTATTGCCAAGTTTTCTTTGAATTTCCCAATTTCTAAGAGCAAAACTTTGAAACTGAGGACCTTGTCTCCTGAGAGCAAAAAGCCCTTGTGAAGTAAATTAATAGCTAGCATTTAAAGAATACTTACATGCCCAGCACTGTGCTAAGCCCTTTTATTCCTTTTGAAGTTGATTTCATCCACAAGAACCCTATGAGGGAAGGACTATTGTTAGCCCCATTACACAGGTAAGTTAATTTGTCCAAGCTCATGTAGCTAGTGGTTCAGCCAGTATTGAAATATAGGTAGTCTAACTCCAGTGCCAATTTGTTTATCACCTGGCTTTTCTCCTGGAAAGATAGTTTCAGTTGTTAGCCTAGGAAAGTTGATTTCCTAGGCTAACTTGTTGAGTGTGGTTGGGATTTCTTAATACTAATAAAACATCTTAAAACTACCAGTTACTGAAAACATAAATTATAATTACCTAAACTGAACCGAGTCGGGTTTCTTAAATTGTTGAGAATTTAGGACCTTTTAAGTGGTGACCCCTATCCTCCATGCAGTATATTGCATTTACCATTAGTTGTTACTTTAAAAGCACAACACTATATTTTTTTTAGTATTCTTACACTCTTCTTTTTTTTTAATCTCTAATTTATAGATGTGTCCTGAAGCTTTCTTGCATATCTGGGTACCAGGTTTGACCTCAAGAGATGGCTGCTGTGCACTTTTTGCAACTGGTTTGATATCACATTTCAGCTCCAACTTTGCATCCTGAGAACACTTAAAAGGTTTCTGCAGGTCCATTTTATACAACTTGAAAGACCTTAAAACTTTCTGGTTGCCACAAGCATATATTTCTTTTCTGCTCATCCAATAAACAGCTGTGCCCTACTGTGATAGATTTTCCAAACAAAATACCTGAAGCAGCAGTTTAGCAAAATATGCCCTCAGTGGCACTCAACAAATGGAGTTTCCCCAAGCACAGTTCTGTAAGAAGTGTGTGTGAGAATGTGTGTATTGTGTGTGTATGTGTATTTTAAGTTATTATTTGTATTGTGCAAATTTTTTTGATCTTGGGGATTCTGGCTGTGAATTTGATGCACGACAATTATGGTTAAAAACATTTGCTTGATCTACAGAAGATCATTAATGTTTTGTGACCATATAAGTTGTAACAGTGGGTTGTTTCATGTGTAGGTATTACTGTTAAATACAGGGACTGTTTCCAGGCAGAGAATATGAATCATACATTAGGCTGGACATTAGATGTGATTATGATGACATAGCAAAGGCCTGTGGCCCTAGGTCAATAAATACACAGTGAGGAATTAGAATGAACTGGAGACAGGCCATTTGACACATGGACTCTGCCTACCCATGTTAGATACTTTGACTCCAAGCCTTAAAATACCCACTGGAGTCTGTGCTCACCTCTTTCACACAAAGAGCTCCCTGGACACTGAACCTCTGAAAAAAAGTCTCCTGTAGCAGCAGGAGCATCATCAGGGTTTGCTTGGGAGCAAAGAACAGGTGAGCTCGGGGCTGGGCCAGGCCCCATCAGCACTGCTACTTGGGAGGAGCCACTTCACCTTTGTATCAGTTATTACCAATAGATTTGGATCCTTTGGTCAGGTTCTCCCAAATTCTTTTAAGAGGTGTCCATGGTCAACTGCTTGAGCTTTGTTTTGGCAACCCCTTGCCCTAAGTTGCTTACAGACTGTTCTTCACCTTGATTCCAAGGCTGAGGAACAGAAAGTAGCCTCTGTTTTGAGGAGGTGGAAGTTAAGTATACATTTATTTTTTACTGTGACTTGTTCAGGACCACATTTTACAAAATGCCTTGTTTCATTTATTATTGTTTTTGGAAAGAAAAATTCTATTAAAATTGTTTTAGTTTGAATATAGAATAGTTTTTTTAATTACAGCTTATTTTGAAAAATTCTGAGTGTAATTCAAATGTATGCCAGTACCTTCCAAAGTAAGGTAATATTCAGAGAGAGTTCTGATCAGATGGCTTAGAGAAATTTCTGGAGTATTCACATTGGAAGTTTCCTTATTAATGAATGTCTTTGACTTAATTCTAACCAAAAACTGCAACGTTATTCTTTGTACATTTTCATTATATAGTGTTAACAAGCTTAGTTGCAAACAAATAAAATACTTAAGCTATTTGTTTACCTTGCCTTCTTAATATTGTGATAATGTTTATTAATTAAAAGTAATTTATGTGGGGCTGCTATAACCATTTCCCCAGTTCAACATTACATTTCAGAGTTACAGATTTATTTATTTACAAAAATTTATTTATTTTTAGAGAGAGTGGTAAGGGAGGGAGAAGAAGAGGGAGAGAAACACTGATCAGTTGCCTCTCGCATGCTGCCCCAGTAGGGTACCCCGCCTGCAACCCGGGTGTGTGCCCTACTGGGAATCAAACCAGCAACCTTTGGGTTTGCGGGACAATGCCCAACACAGTGTGCCACACCAGTCAGGGCTATAGATTTTTGTTTAAAGCCCAACAGTGATCTTTTAATAATTTTACTTCATATTTGAAGGGCAGTTTGTTTCACCTCTCTTTCCAGAGTAGTCACTTGTTCCTGGAAGAGGAACATAGCAGTGGCGGTAATGGGAGGGACCTTACAGTGGGATAGTCACACCAAAACATGGGAAGGGCAGCTGTGGGGACCAACAGAAATCCTGAAGGATGCACCCAGGAATAGGGAATGCTGCCTCACTGAAGTCTTGTTACAGAATCAGTGTGATGTACTCATTCAGTATTGCAAGTGCCAACCCCATCCCTACTAAATAGCTTCCGACCGGGAAGTGGAGTAAGTTTCTATCAGAAAAATGACAGGCTGTTGTGTTATGATACGGAATCACAGGGTAAGACCACACTACCATAGCTGGGTTTGGGGATCTCCTCCAAAGCGACTAGACATGTTTGTTTTAAGTGTTTTATACAAAGAAAAGACAAATCCTAGGACAGGAAATGGGGACCTGAAAGGTAGGCCTTAGGCTGGCAAAAGGAGTTTTTTCCTATGCCTTGACTTCTAGAGCCTGAACTTAGGGCATTCCCAGGTAGGGAACTGTCTTTGTCCCATGAAGATAGGGGAAAGCCCACGGAAGAAGAAAACCTACAGAGACCTATAAGAATGAGCCAGGACCTGTGGTCTCAGAACACGTATCTCATGAGTTAAATTTTTTTTGTCTGCTTTTATTTGCTATCCTCTTTAAGTAAAGTCTTAAGTTTAAGGGCAATGAAAAGAATAAGTGTCCCTGCTTAGGTTAGAGGATCACCGCAAAGATCAAAGGGCTAAGGCTGTGATAATTGAAGCACTTCTCAAGGGGAAGAACATAGGGGATAAAAGAATTTGGGCCAGCTTCCACACGTGGTATACCTGCCCACCTGAGAGGATTGGTAGGCTAGTATTGTTGTTGAAGGAATGGCCTTTGGGTGTTTAGCCCTAGAGTTCAAGTCTGCTCTGCCACTAATTTGCTATGTGAGCCTTACCAAGTTGCTGGACTTTCTGAGCCATAGTTTCCTTATCTGTAAAACAGTGGTTGATTGTACGTACATCATTGGGTTATGTTTTCAAATGCAAGATTAAATTTAGTCGTGTCAAGAAAATATTTAGCACAGCTTGGGACATAGAATATGCACTTGAAAATGTTATACTAGGTTTCTTTACAGTGTTTTTCATCAGCTCTGAAGACTAAAATCTTCCTTTCTGCAGCAGTGACTCTCTCAACTTTCCAGTATGAAGAGCCCCTTGTTAACATCAAAATTTCACATTCTCTTACTAGAATTTGTACTTTTAAAGTGTTTGACTAAAAACAATAAAAGATGAATAACAGATGAATTCAGTGATGCCTTTCAGTAAATCTGTATTTCATTATTCACTAAATTAGGGCTCAGCAAACTGTGACCTGATTTTGTAAATAAAGTTTTATTTGAACACTGCCACATGTATTTACATCTGGCTGCTTTGACACTGCCCCTCCAGAGACATTATGGGCCACAGAGTTGAAAATGTAGTCAAACCTCGTTTCTTGAATGCTTGGTTCTCGAACAGTTTGGTTCTTAATCAAGTTGTTCATGGAAAAAATGTCTTGGTCGTCTAAGAAAACTTTGGGTATCAGTTCTCTACCCAAAAACCCTTTTCATGCTGATAACTGTATGAACAGTCATGTGCCTCTCTAGCAACAAAAGAGATTTGGTTTTTGAGGAAATTGCTTCTCGAACAATTTTCCAGAACAAATTAAGTTCAAGAACTGAGGTTCCACTGTACTTACTCTCTGGCCCTTTATAGAGAGCTCCTGCTCTGTAGCATTGACAAGTGTTTGAAAAGCTCACAAGGCTTTTCCATGTGTCATGGATTAGTGGACATACACCCTAATTGATCATTCCTAGGGGAGTCACACCTTAGGTTGAAGTATGGTGAGAAGTTTCTGCTTACAAATGAAAACATTGCCAATGTGAGTTACAGAAAAAGCTAATGAACTTTTTTAGAGCAGTGATTCTCAAGGATGGGGATAGGGAAGTATACTATGGGGAGGGAGGGTTAGGATGACTCATCGGCATATTTAATTTTGAAATTCTAGATACAAAAGTAGGTTATGAGAATTGTATATTTATCAGAACATAACATGGGTTTAAAGATAGTTCATTAAATATTGTTCTAGGAACTGATTGCTGCTCTGGTGATTTTCCTGAAAACAGTTTCAGAGAGGGCTGCAGTTTCCTATAGCTACACTTAAATTGGACCTTGGGATAAGTTGACACCTTCAAGAACAAAGGAACAAGTTAACTGAGGGAAAGAGTTCGAGCCATCTACCCCCAAATCACACTTACAAATAAATAATTAGCACTTCATTGGAGGGGAGGGTCTGGTAACTTTGTCTAAAATTTCAATATCTGAAGTTTTTATGGGTTCCTTGCTTTTCCTGATTTTTGTTTATAGTGTCTTGTCTTTATGCCATGTTATCTGTGAGCTGGACAGTATATTTGAAAAATTATTTGTAGACATAAACAGGATAAGGATGAGGCATCTACCTCTAGGAAGCATTTCTTGTTGCTTGTGCTTGGGAATATTCCCAAACCATCTTAATTTGGATAGAAGGCTGCAGGTTACCTGCATCATCCAAATGGCACACAACCAGGTATTCAGTCCATGTGAAGATGGTTTGCTTTCGTTTCATCACATCTTGAAAGTATACTACTTCGGAATCCTAGCTTAAGGTGTGGGATTTCCCACCTTTAGTGGGCCTTAGGTTTTGATTTTTGTCCCCTTCAGTCCATGGAGCTTCTGGAAGTGCAGCTCAGATTTCTTCCAGATTGGTAAATGCCTTAAAGGAAAGAGCAGCTTTGACTTCTAGGTTCTCATCTAGATTTTGGCTCGGTAATTCCTCAATACCTACTTAGCTTTTTTATGCTTTTAAGGAAATTATATTTCATCTGCTTTTTAGCAGTAGGTTGGTTGAAATTTTCTGATGCTCAATTTCTAGACATGAAATTTCCTATGTCCTTTCTGCTTATCAGAGCTTTGGTTGGTGAAGGCTATTAACCTAGCTTGGTACCCAACATGCCTTTGTGTTGCGTTAATGGGAGGTTAAGTTGAGAAAGACGTGTGTATGTAGACTTCAAGTGATACTAAATCACTCAATAAGCATCACTGGTGTCTTCTGAATTCTTTATTTGTGGAGGACAGGTATTTGAGTTTTAAAAGCCTGACAAGTTCTGTAAATAACCCTAGTTTCTGTTTCATATCCTCCATACGTGACTTGGAATTAACATAAATATTTAGTCAGTTGGATTTTGACATCTGAGAGGCAAGCTCAGTTTAGTAAGGTATTGGGTTGGCAAAAAAAGTCCATAAGGTTTTTTCCATAAAAGACATTTTTCATTTTCACTAATAACTTTATTGATTTGAATATTTTGATTATGTTGGCTCTCCTATATGATACAATGTAGTTCTCAATGTCTCAATTTGATTGCTATGAACTTCAACTGGCCTACCTAACCATGGAGTGTTGTCCAGCGAGAAATCTCCAGCACAATATTTTCATAGACCATGTTTGACCCATTGGATCAGTCACAGTACCTTCTCCATGCACTGCACAAATCTTTTTTTTTTTTTGCATTCTGGTTGCATTTTTACCTAAATACTTATTATTTGAAATAATAAAGCATAATATGCTGAAAATATTCCTTATTTTCTTCCATCTTCAGTATTAGAATGGCTACACAAAATTTTCCCAATTTTGATTTCTTTTTAAATGCATGCTGATATGACAACTGTAACAATATAGTCTGCCAAAATTGTTTCAAATGAAGTTAAAGACAACTAAGTGCTACTAGAGCCATCTTACAGATAAAAACATTAACTTTTTGGCCAACCCAATATATAAGCAGGCATGATAAAAGTTGCTAAATATTGCATGAATGGTATAGGTGGTAGACTAAGGGAAAGAGAGGGTTCTAAGTAGGCTTCATTTGGGGAGGCAGAGTTCAAGCAAGGTTTCAAAGAATGAACAGGGCCCAGGCACAAGCAGGAATTGAGATGTGAAATGAGCAAAGGCTAGGTGATGGGAAATCACGGTGTGCAGGGACAACATTCTTCTTTAGCCAGAGCAGAAAACTCATGCAGATCCTAGGAAGAGAGCTTGAAGCTAGGTAGTAGGGGCTGGATAATGAAGGGCATTGACTGAGTTTGGTCCTTATTCTGTGGGAATCTGAAGCGTTTGGGGGAAACTAATTCAGGTATAAGTACAGAACAGAATGGCAAATAAACT